TCTTTTAAATAATCACAGATCTATAACTACGCATTCATTAAAATCAACAACAACGGCTTTGAGCATCAATGGTAATAGCGTGAAAGCGCTTGCCTCCCAGTACGAAGCTGTTCCACCGTCCGGATTCGTCGTCGACGGTGCACTTTTTCCACTTCCTTCTGATCCAATTGCTGTTTTTGAGGGGTCTTTCAGTGTCCATCCTTGGCCGTATGTCGGGATTCCTATTATGATTTTTTCCTTCGGCATACCTTTCTCTGCCCAATATTTGGCCGCGAATTCCTGGAAGAATTTAGACTTGATTTCGTAGCAAAAAACCAAATTCTTTATTTATCGAACAGGGCATGAACAGAAGCTACCAATATGCAGCAGATTTTATCCAGGAAGTATATTTGAAGTAACCAGTGAATTTGAGCACTCGTAGGAATGGAGGTCGAAAAAACTTGCAGAATCAAAATATTATGTTCTCGGGCTAGATTGGAAGAAGAAAAATTAATTTGGCAAATGTGATCTTTTACTTATATAACTTTAAATCCCAGCAACTAGAAACGTAAATATTACGTAAGAAGTAATGAGCTTTTTTTTTCATAGTAGTGATTTTCTTCAGTAAATTTCAAAAATACTTTTTTACTTCAGAAAATTTTCAGAAATAATATTTCTGCGCGTTTGTAACGGTGTTCGCCTGGCAAAGTTAGCTTGACGGCGGCCGACTTCGAAAGCCTCAACTGAACGACTGACACTGTACGAATAATTGCTGAATAAACGCGCTTCATCCACCTCCAATTTAGAATTGGCAAGGAACTGAGGCCAGTAGTCGGCCAAACTCGCGCCCAACCACTGGATTTATATACCGTTCCTCAGAAGAAGCAGCTCATAGAGATCGAAAAGTGTGAATTATTCGATGGAGCCTTTAGTGGCCTTGGTGATACAGAAAAAAAGCTAGGTCAATAAGCAGAATTTATATGACTCTAAACCCCGGTATTATAATCCTGGAGCACGATTGGATAAAATTTTTGCCTTGATAGATTTCGCCACAACTCATATACGCGCCTCCATTAATCTTTCATATGTCAGCGATATTTCGGCTCTTCCTTTTTATACATTTTTGCTGTGCAGTGCTGTAGCTCTGCTATAGTGAGCAAAAACGCATATTGTGAAGGTCGTTAACGAATGAACTTTATCACCCACTCCCAACTCAGCCACCAGCAAGGTTAGGAAGCTGAAATTTTGAGGTTTTATTCCATCCTCATGTGTCATCCTTCTGTTTCAAAAATTTTTGCTTCCATGCTGCTAAATCTCACATTAGGCTTCGAAAAAAATATGCGACTTTCTTTGGCGGGGAACGACTTCGTGAACAGACAAATTAGAAAGCTGAAACTTTGCTGGGATATTCTGTGTGCACATAGCTAAAGATTCCAAATTCAGCTATCGCGCATGCCTGTGCCGCACGTGCAATCAGTTAAAGTTTACGGCCGGCGCTGTGCCAACTCGAAAACTAGCTGGAAAAAAGCAGTTGAAATTTTGTCAGAATATATATTGTTTATATGAAAAATTGTGTGCTTAAATTAAGTTTCGATTTCCATTTACGCAACTACTTGGGGCTTTTCAAATGGCTATTTCGCTTACCAGACAAGCTGCGACGCTGATAATTTGCAGAGACTTCTCAAGTCATGTATGGCCATAATTTAGTTTAGACGTGAAATTCCCTGTACGCATCGTGACAAATATTTAGTTTTATCGCAAACTCAAAAGCGACTGCTTTTTGCAGATTTCGTAATCCTCTCCCGATTTCCTTCAAATTTGCATTTTTTCAGTGAACAAGCATTCATTAGAAAAAAGTCCGAACTTCATGCAACAAACTGATAACCATGCACATTGGACGTCCATACGGCCCCACAATGCAGAACTTTCATCCAGCTAGCGCCCTTCCCCATGCATGCGGGAAGAAGCCAAAACAAAGCAGTGTGGGTGCAAGGATTTTAACCACAACGCAGAAACCGTTCCTGCTATTAGCGATCTGCAAGTTTAGTGCAAAAACGCATGATCGCACCAGCAAGTCTGGTGCATTACAGCCTGGGATTTGCTTAACTTACAAAATCGAAATATCGATTCTATTTACAAGCTTGTGCACACTCTAGTTAAAACCCTATGTGTTTGATTGTCATTGATTGATATTAGCTGGATGCTGCAACTTCGATGTCAAACTTTTCAGTCAATACGCCCAAACTCCAAAGCCATATAAATCAGTGCAAAAAATTACAGTGTTGTAGATGCCAGCGCCGACAACTTCTCCTTTTGTTGAATGCAGCTTCCCATGCAGATCGACGTTACCCTCCCAAGGGCCGTGCAGGTCGTATGACATCAGGAACAGAAGGTCAAAATCTCTGAAACAAAGTTCCATGTTTTTTTTTTCTATTTTTTTTGTTTTTTTGTATTTTTGCATATTTATGCAAGTAAAAAAATCCTATTAGCAAGAGATATGGGTGTGTATGTGTGTGTTATGCGTATGTTTGTGTTATGTGCACGTATGTGTGTACTCACTTCTTGTCACCCGCTTTCAACAAAGCAGCCAGAGAAGTTAGGAAGCTGTC